AAACTTTTAGTACATATGCAATATACAAAATATTGTAGCCTATCAATTGTAAAGTTTTGACACACTGTATCTTTTCTTTAAACAGTCTCAAATTTAATATTCTAAAATATTTTGAAATATTAATTTTCCTATTTCAATTGATATTTTACAGTGATATGCAATAAGAAATACAATTATTTATTTTTATATAAACAGAAAATTTTATATTTTTTTATGATTGTACACAATAAAAGTATTAAGAAATGAGGCCGTGTTTTTTGGTACTTAAAGATAAAATGTGGTGGGAAATAGCAAGAATTTTCAGCTGTAGTTATGAAAAATTAGTAGGTTTTGAATTGGTAACATTGCTTGTGAAATATCTTGACAAAGAAATGATACTTGTGAGTCTGTGGAAAATCAAAATTTGATTAACAACAACTTGCTTAATGACCACATTATAAACCTACTTGTTTAAAAAAACTGAATTTATCCTAAACATTTTTAAGAATATTCAGTTTAAGCATTGATATTCTTCAAGAAGTCTAAATTAGACTTTAATGTATCTGACAAGAATTCTCTGAATACATTAAACAAATAATTTTGAGCACTTAACTTGCTATTGTTTCTTGGGTCACACTGCATAAAGCCATAATCGCCACTTGGCAATATTTTTATTAAAGTGGGATAAAAATATAATACTGGCAATAGCAAGTGGCAATAAAACCCTAGTCTGCTCGTTTCAACATTCAGCGGGAAACTGAATCACAAATCATATTTCAGAAAAAACAGCAGAAAGTCTAGCTCCTATGTGATAGAAGTCCTGTGCATCACACACACAGAGATTTCGTAATGTCATGTGGCAATTCAGGCAGAAAAGTAGAAGTGATGATGAGAACTGAAGGCAGTTTTGTGCAAAGCCACATGAAATTTGCAGACTGGGAATTTTTTTATCAACTGACAGGAAATTTAGGGTTACTTTCTTCACTTTGATCTTTTTTCAATAGACTAAAACAAAAATTTTGACTTAACAGAACCTGTGAAATACTGTTGAGACATTGTGATCAAATATGTTATTCAAAATTATTCATTTAAAAATTATTCAAAAATGATTCCTATTGCTAATGAGTGGAAAGCCAGACATTCAGGTCTCTAATTCAAACGAAATTTGGTGAGCATGTAGCCTTAAACACAAACAGCTCCTTGTCCAAATAATAGGAACACTTCTCAACTGTTTCCCAAAAATCTACTGTACCTCTGAGTTATGTCTTTGAAAATTTCATGTCTCTGAGCAGCGATAGTCATGGCGGTTTAGCAAAAACATACATACAATCTGACATCCCAAATATATTAGTATCTTCACTAGCAATAACTGACAGATTGAGTCCTGCTGGAAGTAATCCAGTGTTACAGTGTGCTAAAAGAGCAGCTATCTGAAGAAGAGATACTCAAAAAATCTTATTGGAACTAAATCAAATAAATAATGTAAGTAAACAACGCCTTTTTTAACAGTCCAGCAAAAACATTTAATTCTCTAATAACGTTTTCGACCGATTTTAGCGGCCTTCATCAGTTACTCCAATATCAAAAAGAACAAAGTATTCGAAATTTACGTAATACAAAATTAAATAAAATTAAATTAAACTGCGGTTGCGTAGAACAACGGAAAAAATAAAATAAAAATAAAAATGCATAAATAAATAAATAAAAATAAACAAATAAATCCAAATAAATAATAATGCTGTCATCATGGATACATATATTAACTTGTGTTATTGTAAAATGATTTCCAAGCAGTTGCCAAATATGAGGAATTAGATTACATACAAAAGGCAGTGGCACAACAGGATAACCACAGAAAAGAGATTGAGGCACTTATTAAAAGAATACAGAAGCAAAACCAGCAGCCTCCCGAAATTGATCAAAGAAAAAATGTGGTAATCAATTATTTTCCATTTCTAAACAAGATAGTTAGGAAAGTTGCCAATAAAAATAAGTTACGAATAATATATTGACGCAATCCAACCGTGTATAGAATGTCAAGGAATGACAAGAAGAAGGATAATCGAAATAGCTTGACGGGTATATATTCTATACCTATTAAAAATTGTCGGTTTAATTCTGACCTCGTGTATGTTGGGGCAACTATGCGGAGTTTAAAACAAAGGATAAATGAGCATAAATATTCTGTAGGTAGGAACATCGATAGTACTGTTCTGGCGGCATTTGCCAAACAACAGGATGTAACCGTATACTGGGATCGTGCTGCGATCGTTAGGGCCACGAGATCATTACAAGCGGTGAAGCATCTTGAAAAAATAGAAATACATAAAGCGCATATAGCCATGGAATGTATCAATCACAGAGATGCAGAAGGTTTGGCAACTGCTTGGAAATCATTTTACACTAACACAACTTAATATATGTATCCATGATGACAGCATTATTATTTATTTGGGTTTATTTGTTTATTTTTATTTATTTATTTATGCATTTTTATTTTTATTTTATTTTTTCCGTTGTTCTATGCAACCGAGTTTAATTTAATTTTATTTAATTTTGTATTACGTAAATTTCGAATACTTTGTTCTTTTTGATATTGGAGTAACTGATGAAGGCCACTAAAATTGGTCAAAAACGTTATTACAGAATTAAATGTTTTTGCTGGACTGTTAAAAAAGGCGTTGTTTTATTTAGAAGAGATACTGTCACCAAAACCTAACGAATTCTATGACAAACTGGTAGATATTTACATTCCAAAACCCAGAAACAAGATAGCAACAATTTACTACCTGAACAACATAATCAAAACCATTTTGAAACTAGAAGTACACAACAATGCCAAAACAATCATCTGGAGGACCCATCATAACTGATTTCCTACAAATGCTTGAAAAAAAAACAAAAACTTAATTTCTACAGATAACTGTCCCATATGCCAAACCATAAAATCTCTAGAGTATGATTTCCTCTAATGTACCCATATAAAAAGATACGGTAATTCTTGGAAAAATTTGGGAATATCAAAAACCCAACAAATGTAAACAAACTCCAAAGTCTTCATAACTTGCAAAATAAAGAAGTAAATATACAGCATTCAAAGCAATTTGGAAAACCAGAAACACTTCATATTTCCACAATATCAATGAAATAACAACTACAAAATTCAAGTACCACCTACAGCAACTACTAGAAAGTATAAACAAAAGTAACCCAAATCAAAGAAGTAAAATTGCTGAAAAACGGAAAACAGGAATTATACAGGTCTCTGAAAAACACAAACCAACTAATAATCCTACAAACTGTAAGACTGATTGTTGGAATGCAACTTACTCAACTATATTGTATATTTTTCTCTTTAATTCAACAAAACAAAAATTGTAATATTGTTTTAAAATATAAGCAGTCATTTGAACTGCAAAAGCAATGTCTCACTTCTGAATTGCAAGAATATGTATAAAAATGTTCTGTAAATAAATATTTCCAAGAAAATACAAAGAAAGGCAATAACCAAGTGGATAAGATGCTAAGCATCGATGCTAGACAATATAGGTTCACAATCTTTGTAATTTTAGTTTAATTTTGTTTTTTAACATTATTATTTTATAATTTTACCACATTAGCTTTATTATTACTATTAATACATGTTTAAAGCTTATAAAACAAGAAATTAATAATTATGATGTAATTTCCTGTAAAATCCATCCAATAAACAAAGCATTGATAAATATATCATACTAACCTCTTATAATGCTTTGCAATTATTTTGTAATGTATCACAAATGTTTTTGGTCCACCCTAGGACTATCACTGTATACATAAGAAAAATAGTTGCTAAACCGACTGCAGTTTAATTTAATTTTATTTAATTTTGTATTACGTAAATTTCGAATACTTTGTTCTTTTTGATATTGGAGTAACTGATGAAGGCCGCTAAAATCGGTTGAAAACGTTATTAGAGAATTAAATGTTTCTGCTGGACTGTTAAAAAGGCATTGTTTACTTATATTACTTATGAACAAGATAATAGCAGCTGAATGGTTTTTCCAGCAACACTTGCCAACTGTCTGCTGAAATCAGGGTTTCACTATCAACCATTGTTCAGCATTTGAAACACTTTAGCTTTTGCAGCAGATCTCAAGAAGTATCCTATAAACTGATGGAACAGAAAGAACAAAGGAGGATACAAGTTTGCAATCATATGATGCAAAATTCAAGAGATGACATGTTCTGTCACAGGATTGTAATGGGAGATGAAAAATGGATATTTTTCAGAAATCTTAACAGAGGAAACTAGTGGATCTGACCAGGTGAAGTGCCAGCACAACATTCTTTACTTTTAGTATATTCCTTATATTCAAATTTTGTCACCNATTTGACCCCTTTCGCAATGTTAGCACATTTAATAATGTCTTTATTTTTCGCGATTGTCCATATCGTCGTTCTCGGAATACGGTAGGCAACAGTTAAAATCTCGAACAGGCAGGCCACCTTCGTATTTCTCAACAATCTCTTTTATCAGTTCCATTGTAATTCTAGTCATTTTTTTAGTTTTCTGTCGCTTTTCATTTGCCTTTTTGCGATTCGTGATTAATAAAAATAATAAAATTTTACTTATGAATTAAAATCAGAAGAAATTTAACAAAGTTATAAACCGTTGCACCGCGAACGTCTAGTCTGGTCTAGTACACCGATAGTGCTACTTGTTCATCGACATCGCGTATAATTGAATTATGTCGTATACCGAACAAAAGTCGTATACTGAGCAAAATTTGTTTCGTCCAAACAGGACGTATTCTAAAGCAGACGTATACCGAGGTACCACTGTACCTGTTTAATTAATCAATAATCATCATCCATATTATATCCATCATCGCAATTTCCTGTACTTCTCATAATCATTTATATCACATGGAGTTGAAAAGAGACTTAATGTTCGAAATGCATACTCCTCAGGGAAATAAAGGTATGATTTTCTAAAGTTTGTCCTCTTTCTGATTGATGGTGTAATAAGTCTAGCAAAAAAGGAAAAGTCGTCATAGAGCTAGTATAATTATTTAACAATGTAAAAAGAGATAATCTACAGAGACTTGTTTTTGCTAAACAGGAAATGACGTCATAATTTTTAATTTCTTTGTTTTATAAGCTTTAAACACGAGGAATAATAATAATAGTAATAATAATGCAGTAAAATAGAATAATGTTGCACATAAAAAAAAAGTAAAACTAAACTAAAATTTTGAACCCACATCATCTAACTCCAGTGTCTTGTGTCCTATCCACTTCACTATCACTGTCCAGAAATGTGAAACTTTCAAATACCTGTAAGCTAAACCCTAAATTTTCAGAGGCCCATTTTTTGGACAAAAAGCTGTCTGTGTTTAAGGCTATGAGCTCATCAGATTTCATTTGAATCAAAGACCCAAATGTCTGATCCTTTCCTTGTAAGTGACAGCTTAACATGTTACTTTTGCTTTCCAGACATCAAACTGATGAAGCTGCCAGAACCTACATTAATTAGTTAGTAAAACTGATGGCAAAAAAAATTTCAAACTGGCAAATGGTTGGCAATATTTTTAAACTTTTCAGAGCAACCCCTGGTTTCTGTGTTTAATCATTTAGCAACAGTTTTCCAGAAACTAATTACATTGTAAAAGCTGAGGTTCAGCTGCATCAATAAAACCTGTTCTAATCATCATGTTCCTGAATTAGCTTCCATAATAATAATTTCTTTTAATTTAAATTTCAAAATAAATCTGCAGATTATTATTACTTTTTATTTACTAGATGCATCTACCTATTTTTTTAAAATTTATCTTTTATGTATTCTATATATATTCGTTTTTTAAAATTAAAAATAATTATATAATTAATTATATATTTTAATATTCTAACACTCTACGTATGCCTTTAACGAAATTATTCTAACAACTAAGAAACTCAGCTAATACAACTGATTAATGATTGTCATTTGTACAAAATTTAAAAAAAAACTGTATCTTAGTCATTATCGTCCTTTCTTTCAGAAACTGCATTATTCTGATTTGCTAAATGACAATAACAATAATACAAAAATGATAAAAAACATCACAGTCTTAAATTTCAATTCATAAAATCAGATTACATTTACTTTTATTAAATATCCAATAATTATATTTATGACATGTGAATGAATATTTATTTCAGAATTACAGTGCCGTCAACTCAAAAAAAATATTGAAAAATTAACAAAGACAAAATGTTTAGTAGAATTCAGATCAACAATTTGATAGATACAGTCTTGTATAGTCTCTAGCAAGGTTTATACAGTTTAGGCAAATAGTCGAAAAGCTAAACAATAGCTAAACGCCAAACTAGTAGTAGCAACCCACATGAAAAAAAGATTATAACATTAATAACTTCAAGTTTTACAACAAAGATTTTTAAAATTGAAGTATAAAGTGACAAATGGTCTATTTCTTAAGATTTATAATTATCTTTATGAATTGACTAATTTGAAAGTTGCATAAACTTATCATTCACAGAAAATACATGATCCATTTTCATATCCTCTAACTACAATTCACAACTTCCGGATGTAACGACTTCACATTATTATCCACGTGTGTGTGTATATATATATATATATTAATAATCATTTAATTTATATTAAGTTAACAACATTAATAATAGATTTGTCAATGGTGTTGACAATAATTAATGAAAAGTTTTTTTTCTTAAATCGGACACGTTGAATGCTTACCATGTAATTTCTCGGTTTGTTTGTATAATTTCTATAATTCAAAGCAATTTAAATTTACTTTTTATTAGAAATCTTAACAACTTTATGGCTTTGTATAACAGTGATACAATTACAACTCCAAATGAGATGATTGGGACCTTATCAGAGCCGTAGACCATACCAATAGAAGCAAAAAAGTCAAAGGAACCATACATCTATATGCGATCTTCAGCAAGATAAGGCTGCCAAAATCAGCCTACTTTGGATCATATGCAATCGGGAGTTATGTCGCTCCGCTAAGATTGTCACGTTTAACTATTTGGTACAGGCGACTATGCCTGCTTTGAACAGCCCACTTGACATTATATAGTTTTAGGGAAATGCGGGAGCTTTCCCCACGTGGATGCCAAGGTGCTCACTGTCACTCACATCAACGCACACAACTATACGTGAGGTGTCGGCCAAGACTTGCTATTGCTCACCTTGACCTACACGAAGAATGGAGAATAGACAGTTTACTGATTCATGGTAAAAACTCACCTTTGGAGACGAATATATCGCAGAAGATCACATGTACAGTTATGATTCCATTGACTTTTTTGCTCATACAGGGTGGTGTATAACTCTGGGAAGCATATTCCCGATTCAGAGTTCACATCTTACCCAAGTAGTTAATGTATCTCATTACTATTGATGATAACTTATAAACATTATCACTTTGATTAAATGGTAACTTTTTATATAAATCGTAATCTTTAATAACTCCAAAATTCGTTATAAACATTTACAGCCTTTCCTCTTCGGAGTAAATATTCAAAAACATAAACAATTGCTTAAGCCTAAAAATTAAGCCTTACCTGTCCAACGACTTTAAGCTTTATATATTCCGATCCGGAATCGTTACCTTCTTGCTTTTGGTCCTAAATTTAAAATAGTTTATTATTACGTCTATAAAATTATTAAAACTTTCGTTAAAAGTAACTAATAGAAATATTTTCATATTAATTCACCTGATGTTGATCGGCCATTTTGAACTCTACCTTACGCCAATGCGAATGAGAAATGAAAAAGCCCACCGACAGATGGCGCAAACAGGAAATCAGACGACAAACTGTTCTTGGCTATGTTTTGCTATTTTTTTTCAAAATTTAAACCTTATAATTTATTTATTTATTTTTCTATAAAATAATTATTGTACTTGAATTTTGAGGATTTAAATAAAATTATTTGTTAAAAAAATAAAACTTTTAATAATTCGATGTAATATAATTACAGTAGAGCGTCGATTATCCGAATCAATTGGGGACTGGGGTTGTTCGGAAGATAGATGTTTCGTATAACCGATTATGTACGAAAAAATATATTAATTTATCCCATCTTGACATTTTTCTCCGTTGCGTGTCGCTTCGCGTTGAATTTTCGTCAATGTTAAGCCTAATGTAAACTTTTACAAATAATAATCGTGGTTATTGTATCATTAAAAATTACTTTTTACAAACAAAATAAATATATTGAAAAATATAAAAACAATAAAAAATTATACTTCAGAAGTTAATTTAGTATCAAAAACGTAAAATATTTGAGTAGCCCAAGACATAGCCAAAGATTGCAGCGCCGCAGCACTGGCGAAAATTTAAATTTGCCGACTGGAATTCTTTCGGATGATTGACTTTCGGATAATCGACGCTCTACTGTATATTAATAATCTGTAGGAATCTGAGTTCGAATTCCAACTAATCCACTTTCATTTTAAAATGCGAATCAGCAATTTATACTCTGCAATATTGTAAATCATTCAATTTTCGAAATTAAATTCAATATCTTTAAAAAAATTAGATACGCTCTATTTTTACTCTTTCCTTTCTTTGGAAGGAAAGGACTTTTAATCCTAACCCTCGACGGCTGGATGGCCGAGCGGTTAAGATGTTAGCTTACCGCTCTGATCCTTATGGATCGACTCTCGCGCTTCACGCTGAAAGTAAACAGTCATGGTAACTTACTTGCATGCTTCTGTGTTATTTGCTAAACCCTTCCATCAACGAAACGGCAATGCCAGCTCAGAACTTAAGAAATTTCGGCATTTAAAATATTTACGAAGAGATACTATGGCTATTGGAAATTTTAGGAACATGATTTTGCGTTTTGAGAACACTAGAATTTTCGCTCTTAAAACAAGACAGGGTGGACGGTCGGATGGTAGAGACTATTAAGGCGTCATCCTGCGCTCTGGGGACAGAATATCGAGTCTAAATTCGCAGTAACTTTTGGGGGATGATCTCTGCTGGATATGCCATGTTCTGTCCCTCGCCAAACAGCTACCTCATTGTGGGCCTAGTCAAACAGCCAATAAACCTGATAAAAGAGTGAAAAGATGTCTACAGAGTGAAAAGAGTAAAAACTGAGATGTATGGCCCTGTCAAATTCTGTGGAGCGATGAAGCTTATCTTCATATGCATAGTGATGTGAGCGAGCATTCATAACTGTCGTATTTGATCCATACGTTCTCGATAAATTCCATTGCACCCTCTAAAGATAATAGTGTGGTGTAACTTCATAGTATTCTTCATCATTGTATCATTGTTCCTTATTTATTTTTTATTTTTTTGAAAAATCTGCAACTGGGCCAGTAACATATTCTGTTAACACCGCTGGATACAGAGGTATGCTCCAAAACTTCGTCATTCCAGCGCTGCAGAAGAGAAATTGCGTGAACGCCACAATCTTTATCAAGATCACCATCTTGCAATCTTATATCTGCTGTATAGAGTTCAACTGTTGACTGTGTTGAGCAGCAAATACAATTTTTAGAGCATGGAGATGATAGACACATGACGTCAAAGATATGGCTCTTCGGGTGCAATGATGAACTGACGATCATCAGTTCCACGTTGTACTGTACAGTACATCTAATCACATTTGTAATTGAAATAAAATTATTGCATTTTGTTTCTTAATTTCCATAATTCATTAGAAAACGTACGTAGTATGCACACTAAGGAGACAATTTAAAGAGACAACAACGCCAAATTTTGCCCCGGTGGCTGAATTTTAAAGTTAAATTTTTTTATAAAATTTGAAACCCTATACTCAGGACAATATGATTAAACGTCTTACTACAGAGCGCTTTTAAAACTTATTCTTTAACTCCCACACTCTCAACTTTTAACCAAAATTTAATAGCATCAATAATACCTATGCCCCTATACACAAATCTTCCAGCAAAATTTCACAAATTTCGTCAGAAGGCACAGGAGTTATTATGTTTCAATGTGGATGAACAAAATAGTATTTCCTAAAGACACACACTAATATCCATACATACAGAAACCACCAACTTTTTGCATTTCTTGACGTTTCGAGGTTCCCTGAATCTAAATACATATGTAAAAAACTTACCGTGCAATAGTTCGTAGAGCGGTAGACGAAATGGTTATTGGTTCTGTAGAACTACGTCACGTCACGAGTGATAACACAAGCGGCGAATTTGCCCGATCGTCAAAACACAACAGTCACGTGACCATAAAAATTGCTTCTGACGTCACGTCGAAAGTGACGACATTGTCTAGTTTGCTATGGCCTTAACATCAGAGTTTTGATTGTCATTTCAAGTAAATGTTTTAAAGTTAAAAAAAATTTTGTATAGACCGGAACAAGTAATAATCTTGATGTGCTCGATATGGCAAATATGGTTGGTGTAATATCACGTTCCATCTAAGTTATAACAGTTTCTAACGAGTTACCAAACTTTGTGAAATTTGGCATTATCGTTGTAGAACACTACACCTGTTTCGTTGATCAATTCTGGCCGCTTTTTTTGTTTGATAATATTACTCAATTTGTTTACTCGATGGCAGTACACTTTCGAATTAATTGTTAAATTGTCTGGTAAAAGCTCCAAAAAAAAATTTCCTTAAAATCCCACCAAAGAGAGCATCTCTCTTTAAGAACACGTGGAACCCATATATCGAGCTTTGAAACGAAACCAATTTGTTTCAAGTAATCATAAACGGTTCAATTTGACAAATTTAATCTCTTAGTGATTTCACGTGTTGTTATTCGACAGTTTGCTTCAATCAGTACCTTTATTTTGTTTTCATTGGCATCAACTGGCCATCCAGAACGTGGTGCATCTTCATATATTGAAATTGCCAGAACGAAATTTTGTAAACCAGTTTTGGCACTGTCTTTCTCTCAACACATCATCTCCATGCATTTACCACAATTTTTTCTTGCTTTAACAGCATTTTGATTTTTTGATAATAAAAAAGCAAAACACAGTATAGCCTCGATTATCCGACTCAATTGGGGACTGGGGTTGGTCGGATAATTGAAAAGTCGGATAACCGAAAAGTATGAAAAAATCCATTATTAATGTAGTATATTATTATATCCCATATAATTAGTATATTAGTATATCGCTATTAACCTACTTCGCGTTGAATTTTCATCGATGTTAAGCCTAACAAAAATTTTTTAAAATAATAATCGTCGCTATTGTATCGTTAAAAATTAGAAAATTAAGCCTCGTTTAAATACTGGCTCCCTTTCATGGTCTAATGAGTGTTGCCAGCTAAAACACGTAAAAATAATATTAAAGTAGCCAAGACATAACCAAATATTGTAGCGCCACATCACTAGCGGACATTTGAAATTTGCCGACTAGGACGGTCGGTTAACCGAGGTGTCGGTTAATCGGGGGTCGGATAATCGAGGCTATACTGTATGCCAAAAATGATGCTTTCGATCTTCCATATTTTGATGGGACACAAAAAATAAACAATTTCACAAAATTAAACAAAATTTTTTACAAATAAGCCTTAAAATGCTAGCTGTTCAGAATGAAAATTGCGGAAAAATACGACTAATCCGTCTAGTCGTAAAAAAAAAAAAAACGAAATTACTTTCCGAACAACCCAACATTTACAGCTAACGTTCAGATTGCCGAAAGGTTAAAGTTGTACCTAAGTATTCTCGAGGACCCCACACAGGTCGAAAAACAAGAATTTTTGGGTTTATGTTTATTTGGTTACCGCAATACGACACGTGGGCGATCTGATGAGGGAGGATCACTTCCGAGAGGATTTTTATGCGAAACAGTTCCCTGTTTAAGTGTTATAAAAATGCCACATGGCTAGCCTGTTGGCTAGGCGTGAATACACGATCAACTACAAGTGTTCAGTGTTTTTATTCACTCGGCCACTGATGAGCAACAAATTTATGGGATCAGATTCCGACCCTCGCCACTCCATTGTGAGCCTGGCCGAATCCAAGGACAATATACTACAAGGATAGCCAGATCCCTATTCTATAATGTTAGCCAGGAATGGCAAGTTAGTGACGTCACACTTGTCCTGACCTCTTTGTTTACCTAGAGCAGGGTGTGCACGTGTTTAGTTTTCGCTTTTAATATTCGTCCAATTTTGTGATTAACGAAGTGATTTATTTTAATATTTCTGTAATTGTTTTATTTGACTAAGTTTTTTATAAGGTAAGATGATTTAAATATAAGTCATTAAATATTTAAAGCTATATTTTTATGTTAGGTGAAGAACAAAATGCTGAGTACTAGGTGTGCTGTGTATGGTTGCAATAATAACCTTCTTTTTTCAAATTGGAAGCAACCTGTTTACATCGGGTTTGATCAAAAAATGACAAGAGAAATACTTTTAAAATTAATAGCAGAACTTTATTTACTATCGTATAATGTAGTAGCTTGCGTCAGTGACTGTAGTTGCAGTAACATAAGTTTATGGAAAGAATTGAATGTGAATATCAATGAAACGTTTATTATGAATCAATTATTATTATCAATGAAACGTATATTAGAGATATAAATATGTGGTTCGACATTTTTAATAGCTATGCACCAAAAGGTTCTGTTCCAAGCAAAAATGGATATGGTGTAGACTTGGAATTACAAGAAGAACATTTAAATAAAATGATAAAAATAATCTCAACAATGAGAGCAAGTGGAAAAAATGCCCTCCAAATTTTCCAGAAAGGAATGATAATCTCAATGAAATCGCTAATTGATCTTTTTCAAGATATGAAATCGACTTTTGATATAAAATACATCTGCACTCACAATTTAAATCAAGATTGTC